TCAAAGCTTACACCAAGGTATGTACCGCCATATAACCCAAAATCCAAAACCCTAAACCCTAAACCCTAAACCCCTTAGAGCTTAAACCAAGGTGCCTCAATGTTGTTCAAGGTCGCCTTCTCTGGCATCATAAGCTTCATCTCATTGGACATCTGCTCCTGCGGGAATTGGTAGGCCTTATGGGTTGGTGTAGGGTTTAGGATGTAAGGGTTTAGGGTTTAGGATTTAAGGGTTTAGGGTTTAGGATTTAGGGTTTAAGGGTTTAGGGTTTAGGATGGGCATTTCAGATAAAAGTTGTCATAAAACAAATTATGCTTGGATGATCTTTTGGCTTAGTGCGTCTACCCACTCTCCCCGAAAACCTTCATTACAAGCCCCATAACCTCTGTTCCTACATAGACTTATTAACTTTACCATGTCAAGAGAGCCTCCAAGTAGTCAAGTAGATCCTCGGATGAAGTTAGGGTTCAGGGTCTAGGGTTTAGGATTCAGGGATTAGGGTTTAGGGTTTGGGAATTAGGGTTTAGGGTTTTGCATTTAGTGTTGATTCAACTTACCATATTTGGGAAACCATATTAATAACCATACAACTACCCATTATGGTACCTTACTGTAAGTTCCTTAACAGCAGCCCAGTTTAGGCAAGGCTATCCCTTTGCTTTTCCATTTAATTCTCCATTACTAGAGTCACCTGGAACCCTAAACCCTAAATGGGTTTTAGAGGGCATTCAGGAGTGGAAGCCTAGAGGCTCCCCAGTGCTCAATTCCTGCAGCTAAAAGCCAAAAACTACTCTGTTAAAGCCCGCGGCCAGTGCAAATGCTGCCTCGATGAAGGTCATCTTCGCCCGCCGCAAGGACGCGGCATTTGCGTCGCAGGGAAGAAGAAGAGCCAGCACACAAAGTGCTGACCGCTGCATTGTCACCATGTCCTCATCATGGCAAGGACTTGTAGGGAGCAGGGTCGAATCTGGCAAAATAATCGTTACAAGAACCTGAAACATGACTAGTCTCCACATAGCACTATGGGATAATGTGGGAATTTGCGATAATTGGGAAGTTCTATAGACAGCGGTTGTTTCTAAACATATATTGTGGGGTACCCACGGGCCCAAGGGACCTATGGAGACTTCAAGGGGATGATAGGGGTAGGGTTTAGGGTCTAGGGTTTAGGAACATGCTGAGACACTCGCATTTACTGCGACACGAGCGGGACTGCTTCTTCAGAATTCCACTGTAATGTTTAGGATGCTAAGGGTCCAAGGGTTTTTGGTTTTGGATTTGAGGGTTGAGGGTTTGGGGGATCTGCTGAGTTCTGCCTAGGCCTGGAGTGAAGTGACCCTGAGCACCGAAGCCCCTTTTGCAAGGCCCACCGTTTCTGGGGAAAAAGCCTGCCACTACATCTTCATAGTAAGACTCTTGCCTTCAATCCTGATGACCACCATGGGCTATTAGACCGGAAAATTCCCTATTAGGACCCCAGTAAGGGTAGATTGCGGTACTCTTAAGGTCTAATAGCCCATAGTTCGACATTCGTGGGCCTAACCCTTAATACATAAATGCTGGCAGTGACAAGTAAAGGAGCCACGGGCCGACCCCAACATCCCAACCCCAGAAGTTCACTGAAGCCTAAACCCCAAAACCCACCAAGCCCATGAAGCCTGAACCCTAAACCCTATACTAATGTAGTTTCCTTTTTCTTTTCCATTGATGGTCTCTAACGCCGTAAAACCCCAAACTACACTGAGGCCGCCACGGAGAAAAACGTGCCCTGCACCCGAGGCGAGGGTCTCTCAGCACGTCTTCTCGTCTGTAAGCCCAAAAATGACAGCGTCTTAAGACTCAGGTGTTTTGTGTCCACAGTCTTTTATCCCGTATATAATGCATTATACAACCCCCTTAAGGAGTTCAGACTATAGCTCATGTAGGGATCCTAAGACTTTAGGGTTCAGGATTGAGGGTTTAGGGCTTAGGGTTTGGGATCCCCGGAGGCTTGCCTAAAGGCCTAGAGTACTGCCTCAAACATAAGGGAAACTCATGTGAGCCATCGCCTGAACTCCTAGCATTCCCCCAAGAAACCCTCCACTACTCCCCTATATAATCCATTATACAACCCCCTCAAGGAATTCAGACTATAGCTCATGTAGGGATCCTTAGGTTGCCACCAGTAGTGTAGAATTTAGGGGCAGCGCATTTCAGGGAAAAGAAAAAAAACGCTTTGATGATCTCTCTGTGCCAACTGGTCCATTCTAGGAGATCTTGCGATAGTATAGGGAAAGGGAATCTGTCACCATGCTTTATGTCGTACACCCAAAACCTAAATCCTCAACCACCCAGTTTTGGGGGATTCCCAGGGTGCACAGTATTTCCCCCATTAACCATATGAGAGTTTCAGGCATTACGTGAGCGTATGTAAGCCAGCCCCAGTGCGTGGCAATCACCATGTGGGTGTCCATGAAGATATCCCCTATAAAATGCCTGCAGGAAATTCTCATAATTCCTATTGTCCCCCTCAGAGTACTCCCCTGAACGCGTTCCCTGAACCCTAACCCTCAATACTCACTAAACCGTATAACCGCTGAACCTTGAACTCCAATCCCCATTTTGATCTTCCACTGCGATCTGTGGCTCTCATGTTATGGACGTGTTGAGGGGTGTTTCACGTGGTTGACTCAAGTAGGGTTTTAAGTGTTCTCAAAAACACACTCAAAAGGAGAAGGCAATTATAGTCCGTATGGGAGACTATCATATACCAGTTTCAAAAAATTGCTCAGTTGAGCATTTTTAGTCGTAAGGGCTTGGGGTTCCAGAGGGATCAGACAAGATGGTTCTGATCCTTTGACTCCCTGAGTTTCGGGGCACTTCGTAGGAATACGAGAACAGTCCCAAGTTCCCAGGAGAAGGACTGTAGGTCATGTGAGCTATAGTCTGAACTCCTAGTATGCGCTTAATAACCTCTAGAACACTCCGCTATATAATCCCCCGATATATAGCCCCCTTCAAGGAGTTTAGACTATGGTTCACTTAAAAGGAACTGCCTGCTCCCTTCAAAAGACGCAGTTCAACCGGAACACTTCTAAAAGGGGCTAGGGATTATGGTTTAGGGTTTAGGGCTTAGATCCATCTTTACCTTGTGAGGCCATGGTTCCCGAGAATATGGGGGTTTGCCAGGTATTCTGCGAAACCACGGACTCCTTCTAGGGTTGGTACACTACGGCCCCCTTAAACCTTGAACCCTCAGAGAGTGGTTCTTTGTGAAAGGCATATAAAAACAGACCTGGACATTCTTCATTCATCGCAAGCAGGTCTGCTTTGTTCTATCCATCCCGACGTGGCCAATACTAGTATGGTATCATAGCTACTATTAGTGCTGATATGGCTACCCCCCATACTATTACTACGCTGATTACTATCACTATTGCCGTTATCACTACGGCTACCGTGACTATTGCTAATACAATGTGTATAAGTCTATAAGTACTACGATTTCTGTTGCTATTATTATGAATTCATACACCGTTGTCAGGGTAATGGTTGTAGTTCCTCAGATGAGGGTCCATGAGCTTTGGCACCAGCGAACTACTCACTAGTGCCAAAAACATGTAAACTTTTGATATGAACTCCCCCAGTCTGCCTCAAGCACAAGTAAGACTGGGGAAGACTCCAAGAAAGCAACACGCAACAATCTCGGCTACGAATGTTGGTGATAGCTTGGAATACCCCCTAAACTCTAAACCCTAAACCCTTATGAATGAAGCAGAAAGCAGCCAAACCGGCTGATCCACAGGAATTCCAGAAATAAAGCCATTTGGGGGGGCCGTATGAGCCATTGTCTAAACTTCTAGCATCCCCCTTTGTAACCCGTCTAATACTCCCCAACAATCTCCCCCCATAACCACTCTAAGGAGTTTGCTAGACTAAAGCTCATTGTTTGGGGTTGAGGTTTAGGTCGTCAAAAGTTGGCATGCTGTAAACCCCAAACTCACTCAGGTTGGACGCGTTCTTTCCATGGACCCAGCAGAGTTCATCATGTGAACTATAGTCTAAACTCCTAGTATCCCCCTTAATAAGCCCCATAATAGTCCCCTATATAATCCCCTATATAACCCCCTTTAAGGAGTTTAGACTATAGCTCATGTGCTTGAAGGCTCATGGGTGGCGATCAGAGGGGTTACAAGTCCGCTGAAGCAGATTATCGCTGCAGCTGCCTTGTGTATAGCCCACTTATAACTCTTCATGCGCATTCTTCAACACCACTGGTCCGTTTCCCTTGCCGGGCAAGTGACAGTTGTCTGGTACCTTCCAAGGCAATGCACCGAACGTTTTCTCAAAATCTGGGTACCTTTTTTTGGGCGTCCCCACAACAAGGATTACAATTGGTTGGGGTTTGCATCCGCGTCCTCAAATTTGGGACAGCACCATGGCAGCTTCACCAACTTAAATTTTGAACATTTTTACCCCCTAAATCCTAAACCCCAAAACAACCCTAAACCCTCAATCCCAAGAAAATCCCAAACCCCTAAGCCCTGACCCTTAATCCTAAACCCTAAACCCCTAAAACCCTACTTTAGACACGCAAACCCCAAACAAAAGGAAACCAGGCACCTGGTCTCACAGGACCGCATGAGCAAGAAGCAGTCAGTGATGTTGCCTCTTTAGGCTCCCTTTGCATCTGCCAATCGAGGATGCACCAGAACGGCAGGTGTACTGAGGATGGCTGAAAAGAAGCTCGTCTGGCAGGCATGGGCCCTTCACCCGTAAGGACTCAGCAAAGCATCCAATATGTAGAAACTTGCAAGGTAATGTTCATCAACCTGCGGCCGCCAGCTTAAGCGCGAAGATGCGGGAAGTAAGCCATCAGCTCAGCAAAGCTTTGGGGAAGCTGATATTGTACTTGCCAACGCCGTTGCGGAACCGCCATGCGCTTGCCCTAAGCCCTAAACGCTACTTGCATTCGCGTAAGTCTCGGTTTCCCTTCTCTCGACACCGACAGATCTGAGCCCTCACCCGGCAACCGCCTCTGCGGCAAAGCTGGCCACCAAGGAGCCCAAAACTCGGATCCCAGCATCCGGGTGCCCGGCCAAGGCCCAGTCAGGAAGTGCTGAAGCATCTGCTACCCACAGGTTCTTCACCTTACAGGTTTAGAGTTTAGGGTTTAGGGGATTTAGGGATTTAGGGTTTAGGGGTTTAGGGTTTAGGGGAATAGGTTTAGGGTTTAGGGGAATAAAAATACAAACTACTGTATCGCCAACGATGTAAAAGAAAGATGGAAACTCGTTTGCTGGTTCTTCACAAACGAAGACTCAAAAGAAGATGCAGCGGTACATTCTCGTTTGATTCAAGGCTTGGATGGGGATTGGGTCAGGCATTTTGAGGACTATTTTGGGTTCAGGGTTTGGGTTTCTGGTTTAGGCTTTAATGATGGGTATTCTTTAGGGCCGACTTCCCAGACCTCTGGCAAAATGTAGAAGGTAAAAGCCTGATGAACTATCCTACACTACTATCGGTTGATGTCTAGGAACCTTTAAAAGGCATCTACTTTCTAGATCTTCCCAGGTGTCCGGGCGAAGAATTCCCCAAAAAAAATGAATCCTAAACCTTAAACCCCTAACCCCCATAAACCCCATAAACCCTACACCCACCCCCTAAAGGCCCTAGCAGGTCACGCCGCGCACACGCAGACGGCTGTCCAAGACATGCCCAAGCTGGGCCGTGCCCATGGGATGCTGCCAGGAGCCCAAGTTCTGAGCACAGTACTGGCCTGTGAAGCCATCATCCATCCTTGTCATACAGGTTGGTTTAGGGTTTAGG